CATTCTTCCCTTCTTTCTTTTTCAAGGATTTACTTATTGGAAAGGCAGGTTAACAGAGAGAAGGAGAGACAGAAATAAAGATCTTCCATCTGCTGGTTCACACCCCAAATGGTCACAACAGCTGGCGCTAAGCTGATCCCAAGCCAAGTGCTTCCTCTGGATCCCCCATACTGGTGCAGGACCCCAGGTATTTGGGGCCATCCTCCACTGTGCTCCTTGGCCATGGGCAGCCAACTGGATGAGAAGTGGAGCAACCAGAACATAAGCCAGTGCCCATATGAGATCCCGGAATTTAGCAAGTAGAGGATTACCCAATTGATCCATCATGGGTCATTGCAGAGCACCCTTCCTGGTGCTTTTTCATCAACATATATTCAATTTACAATCATTGGAAAGAAAATTAATTCATTTGTTTATTTGAGAAGTGGAATGAGATCTGGAGAGAGACACACAGAGAGAGCTCCCATATGCTGGTATTTCCCGAATACTCACAATGGTCCCAACCTGGAGCCAAAGCCAGGGGCACAGACCCAATTATCTGAACCAAAATCCGTCTTCCAGGTAATCATGAGTGGGAAAGTAGAGTCAGGACTGGAACCTGGGTACAATGTGGGATGTGAGTGTCCCAAACAGCATCTTAACGATCAGGCCAAATGCCCACCCTGAAAAAAATAATCATTTTAATTTTCATTTAAATTAATGTATTTTCCCAAGTACTTCTTAACTAAAATAGCTAGCATTTTAGCTAAAATAGAGAAGATAGGGTGTGAACTTGAGTCCATCTGAAAATAGAGGAGCTTCACCTCTACTGAGGTCAAGAATTTCTCAATTCTCTATTTGTTGAGTGACTGCCAGGTAACTAAGCAGATAGCTGATTTTTGGAATCCATTCAGCACTCTTTTAGGCATTCTCTAAATTCCATAATCCTGCTTACATACTATGATAGTCAAGAGAAAATTTCTTTAGGTAATGTAGCAGAAAATCAGAGAAATGAGCACTACTTCATGTTATTTCTGGTGCACATTTCACTCAAAAAATTCCCATCTTAATCCATAAAGAAATATAATTTTTTAAAGATTTATTTATTTATTGGAAAGTCAGATATACAGAAAGGAGGAGCAACAGAGAGGAAGATCTTCCGTCCAATAATCCAATCCCCAAGTGAGTGCAACGGCCAATGCTATGCCGATCTGAAGCCAGGAGCCAGGAACTTCTTCCAGGTCTCCCTCGACTGCTTTCCCAGGCCACAAGCAGGGAGCTGGATGGGAAGTGGAGCTGCTAGGATTAGAACCGGCGCCCATATGGGATCCCAGCGCATTCAAGGCAAGGACTTTAGCCGTTAGGCCACACCGCCGGGCCATAAAGAAATATAATTTTTACATGAGAGCCAGCTCATGAAAAGATGAGGCTTTTCTTTTAGATTCTCAGGCTTATTCAGAATTCTTTTTATAACTGAGGTTTATCTGAGAGGAAAGTACATAACATGCCAATGAACTTATGAACAGAGAAATTTGATGGAAAATAATGTCTCAAATACCCACACCTTGCTTCTACTTTCTTCTCTCCAACTGTATTCTTTAACCACACACAGTTCAGAGGTCAAATGATCAGAATTCCTCCCTGCCCATATACAGATGAACAATCTATCCTTCCCCATCTCTTTTCAACATTATGAAAGCATTAAAATAAAAATCTTCTCTCATAATAATAGCCATCGTTTATGACATGATCACCATATGTCAAACATTACATTAAATAATTTTTGTATTATCTCTAATTTTTATATCAGATTTCCCTAGAGATGAAAAACCCAATATTCAGAGATATATTTCTTTTTTTTTTTGCTTTAACCAAGATCACAAACATCTAATCTATTAGATCACAAAACATCTAATCTACAGATTAGTTATTATATTTGGGAGAGGAAGAAAGATTAAGCAGTAGGTATAGTTAAAGCAGTACTTAGCATTGATCACTCAACCAGTCTGGCTCTCAAACCAAAATGTATTTGACTTCATTAACCCATTTTGCCACCAAATTTTGGTTTGGTTCACAAAAGTTCAAAAAAGAGAACCAGGTCAGGTACAACAGTCTGGTTACTAAATCCTTGCCTTGCATCCCATATGGGCACAGGGTCATAACCTGGCTGTTCTACCTCCCTTCCAACTCCCTGCTTGTGGCCTGAAAAAGCAGTGGAGGATGGCCCAAAGCTTTGGATCCTGTAATCACATGGGAGACCCGGAAGAGGCTTCTGCTTCCTTGCTTCAGATTGGCTTAGATCTGGCCATTGAGGCTACTTGGGGAGTGAACTAGCAGATGGAAGATCTTTGTATCTCCTCTTTTTATGTCTCCCTTTTCAATAAAAAGAAAAAATAAAAATAAATCTTATAAAACAAAACAGAGAGTGAAGCAATTTAATTCTCAATGTCACACTAAAATTCATTAGCCACCTATGAGGCATTAAATTTGTGTATTAATCATAGCCTAATATTAAAAAAATTTGTTATATAATTAATTTTTTTACAGATATGATGAATGCAAGAAAGCCACAGAAAGATCACAGAAAAATAAATGGCAATACAGATTTTCCATGCATTTTTATGCCTCTGTTATGACTGATATAAATAAAATCTACAAACATAAGTAAATATCTAACATTGAAGCATTATTAATTTCGATCCCCTATGGTTGCTACTTTCAGAATAATAAATTCAATAAAAATACTATAATTAAAAATGAGATTCCACTGCAACAGGGTGGAGGAACCCACCACAGGGGGAGGGGAGGGGGATGGGTCGAGGGAATCCCAGAGCCTATGAAACTGTGTCACATAATACAATGTAATTAATAATAATAATAAAAGGGAAAAAATGAGATTCTTTTGCTATTAGGAGATTAACAAGTAAATTATTATTCTCCGTTAATAAAGTAAATCTTATGGATTTGCTCTTACCAGTGAACTATAGCTGGCTTTCCTGGCAGAGATTTCTTAGAATAGTCCCCAACGTTTTTGTTCAGATGACTCAGTTGTTTACAGTGGCTTTGTTATTCATTCCCAGGAAACATATCCAGGAAGCAGAAATCAAATCACACTTAAAATCTTTGTTTCTGCTGCATTAGATTATAATATAAAATGACTTAGCTACTAAAATGCATTGCAATTTTTAAAATGGACCTGAAATAGAAAGAAAAAATGAGTATATTTTATTCTACTTTTGAATTTTATAAATAATTATTTAAGTCTTAGAAACATATACCTACAGCTCCTTAGCAGTTACACAGAAAATTATCACAGCGTTTTACTCATCAGGGAGTTAAAGAACTAAACTTACCCATTGTTGAGTTTCACTTTCTAAAGCTTCCACCTGCTTCCTTTAGGCTGGACATTGTACATTAGAAGTGCAATTATTCCATTCATTTCATCATGACTCAATCAATTCAACCCAAAAGAAATTCATTGAGTTTCTTACATAAGTCACCCATAAGCTCTAAGGGAAAGCTACAAAGATGAGTAGCATTCTGAAAGAGACAAGGTAGAAACTAAGAAACAAAAGGAAAGTAAGATCAACACCGCAATAAAAAAGATATAAAGCACAATGAAACCCCAGTAAGGGTGAAATTAATTCAAATTGATGGAAAAGAGACAAACATTGGATACCTACAAAAAAAAATCCCAACTCTTAGCAGCAGATATTCTTTTTTTCAATCTATAACAAAATTACACATATTGTGAAATTTAGCTTAAGTTTCCCAAGTACTCTTAGTTTTTCTTTTTTTAAGAACTCTGATATATAATGATGGCTAAAATTCAAAATTCAAATAAATGGCAGACATCAGGTCTCAAATAAAACTCAAGATCCATACAAGTTTATTTGTTTATTTGAAAGGCAGTGAAATAAAGGTGGGTGAGAGTGCAGGGAGAGAGAGATCTATCTACTAGTTCATTTCTCAGACAGCTGCAACAGCTAGGTCTGGGCCAGGTCAAAGCCAAGAGCCTGGAACTCTATCCAGAAAGCCCATGTTAGTGGCAGGGACCCAACTACTTAGCTATCATCTGCTGCCTTCCCAGGCACATTAACAAGGAACTGCATCAGAAGCCAAGCAGCTAAGACTTGATCAACATGCGGATACAGTATGCCAGCACTGCAGTCAGTCATTTACTATGGCACACCGCAACACTAGCTCCTTATTCTCACTTCTTATTTCTTTCTTCTGGCCTTGATCCAAACAGAATTTCTTAAGCTACAAATTTGGTTGGATTCTTGAGTGTTTTTTTCCCCCCAAACACTTTAAATAGGATGTTTCTGTGTGGCTATCCCTAAAACGATTGTGATTTTATGAAAAAAAAAAACAGTTATATATCTGTATTTACCTCTTTTAGTCTGTGTGTTAATAACTCTTTGTGTCTTCACTGAATCATATTTTAATATAAAATTACATTTTGCATTTATGAGTAATTAGCTGAGAATGGCATATGTCAGTATGATAGGGGTATAAGATAGGGAAAGAAGAACTAAGAGAATAATTGCTTGTTCCTATATGCAAGCAACTAAGCAAGGCCCTCTTCTCATTGGATCTGACAGTGGCATGCTGTGAGCCTGCTGATACTGTCTCTTGCCATCATTTAGTGGCAATTTAATGCTGGGATCAGCAGACTGGACTTTATCATCAAATGGAGCTGGAATCAAATTCAGTTCTGCCTACACTTCAGTTTCCTCATTCATCAAATGGAATAATAGTAATATCAAACTCATGACATAATGTTGAGTACAGTTCATATAAAAAGGTTGAGTTGTTACTAGATGCAGGCACATTACATTTGTGGTTAAAACTAAATTCATCATCTGGATTGTGTTGTAAGTGAAAAAGTATAAACCTATTATGCAAAAATTTGAGTTCTGTTAATACAAGAAAGCAACGAAGAATTCTTTCTTTCCATAGACAATGCTTTAGTATTGAGTCGAAAAAGAACCATCCACCCATTCTTTTCCCTTTTACAGGCTAAGAGGAGAGATGAAATAATCCAACTCTTACGAAAACAAAGAGAAGAAAGGATCATGGTGAGATGGATATTGAGGCTTTCAAATAAATGCATTTGAAAATATGAACTGTGGCAAATTCTCCGAAGTTTTGGAGATTAATCCCTTAAATCTAGAGTCTTCTATATATTGGAAGGGAATGAGGTATAGATAACAACTGATTTGGCAATTTTACTAATCTGAATATGCCTCCAGAGCTTGCAACTCCTCTGACATAAAAAATTAGGTATTATTTTCAGTGGAGTTTATTGTTCACATATTACAAAGCCATAGGATGTTAACAGGGGCAACTCTGGTGCTTATATTTATTATACAATGATTTTTCCTAGATCACATATAACAATATATTAATAATAACATAAAATGAAGAGAAACAAACCTTATTTGTATACTAGTACACTGTACATTTAGTGCTGCACAAGCACACTTTCTGAATGAAACCCAAACCCCCTAATCTGGAGTGTAATGATCCCCTAGTTCCAGATTTAAAAGCTAGGTTTTAAAAACTCCGATCTCTATCTCAGATTTTTTTTTTTTTGCGAGTAAATTTCACGGCAGAAGTAAAATTTTTCCAGTTTCATGTTTGTTTTATTTGCATTTCAGAAAGAACTAATTTCTCTTCCTTATAAACCCAAGGTCAAGGTACAAAAGGAAAAGTAAGTTTCGTTCTATCAAAAAATATTCTCATCTCTCTAACTGCCATATAGGAAAGCACTTCTTTATTCTTTCTCACTTTGTCTTACTATTATCTAATTCACTTCATTCTATTAGGAATTTCATTAAGATTTATTTATTTGTTTATCTGAAAGGCAGAGTACCAGGGAGAGGGTGGCTGAGGGTAGGGAGAAGGAGATCTTCCATCCAGGATCATTCCATCCAGAATGGAAGATCGCTGATTCATTCCCCAAACAGCCCCAGATGGAACGCTGGCCAGGTGTCCCACATGAGTGGAATGAGTCAACAGACTTGGACCATCTTTTGTTGCCTTCCCAGGTGAATTAACAGGAAGCTGGACTGGAAGTGGAGCAGCTCAGATGCCAATGTTGCAAGCAGTGGTTTAGCTTGCTATGTCACAGTACCAGCCTCTATTGGAGATTTTTTTCTGTGTGTTGAACAAACCTTCTCCTCATAGATATTAAAATATGTGTACCCACTCATATACCTGTGGAATCTACAAGCATAAGTTGGTAAAGCCTGGAGAGTAGGTCAGCCTTGAGTCTCTGTACACATCCCCTTCGCTCCCTTCTCATCCTGAAGTAGTGGAGTCACCATCATGTGCTCCCAGCTGCACCTTCCCCTACTCATACTTTATCTCACCAGTTTTAGTTCTAAGAGTTTGCAAGCTCTGACCATACCAGTGGCATGCTCAAGGCTGCTAAGACTAAATCCATGTTGAAAAATGCATTAGCCCTTCAGTGATAATACCTTTCACAGTTTCCTGCTTTTTAGCAGGACTTTAGCACTCAAAGGTAGAGCAAAACTAACCCCATTAAAAGACAATGATAGTCTAAAAGTGAAACATTATGTCACAGTTTAGATACTTCTCATAATAACTCAAATTCCTAATTATGTAATTCCTTTTAAAATACAGATTTATTTATTTTAACTGAAACTCAGTTACAGAGAGGGGGAGCAAGAGACGGAGATCCTCTGTCTGCTGGTTCATTCCCCAATTGGCTGCAATGACCAGAGCTGGGCTTGTCGGAAGCTTGGAATTGGGGGCCTCCCGCATGTTTCCCACACTGGTGCAGGGCCTCCACTGCCCTCCCATGACATCAGGAGCAAGCTGGATCAAAAGCATAGCAGCTGAGATTCAAACTGACACCCACAGGGGGATACCAATGCCACAGCAGAGGACCAGCCTACAGTGGCACTGCACTGGCACAATTCCTTTTGAACAGAAACTGTCTCTTCTATCCTGAAGCCTTGAATTTTACTCTGTTTCATTCTGACATCACAGTTCTGTGAAATTGTTGCCTGCACCACTTTTCGGGCAGTTGATCATGCGTTACTCTCCCTGCATTTTCTGATTATTTAACTCTTACTATCTCTTAAGTCATTTAACTTTTCACATGTTTGTCTTGTGGGTCCACAAAATGCCTAACACGCTGTCAACATGTTAAAATTCAGAAAATATTTGTAGCAAACATTTTAGTTCAAAATTGTCATATAACTCAATATTAGCTACTTCAGAAAGTTATGTGCTTATACTTTAATTTATAAACATTTTAAAATTCTGCAAACATTTTAGACCCAATTGTGTGAAAAACTTTTCACTTGGGCTTCTCTTTCTCTTTCCTTTCCTCTCTGCCCAAACCTGCCTACACAAAGATGTAGCCTTACTTTCTCTCCCTTAAAAATTGGGTAAATAGTAAGGCTTTAGTAGCAATTTACTTAGGATCCACCTGAGGACTATCTGTCTTTTAAAAGTCATCTATGGGGCCTGGCGCAGTGGCGCAAGTGGTTAAAGGTCCTCGCCTTGCACGCCCGGGATCCCATATGGGCGCCGGTTCTAATCCCGGCAGCCCCGCTTCCCTTCCAGCTCCCTGCCTGTGGCCCGGGAAAGCAGTCGAGGACAGCCCAAAGCTTTGGGAACCTGCACCCGTGTGGGAGACCCGGAAGAGGCTCCTGGCTTCGGATCGGCATAGTATCGGCCCGTTGCGCTCACTTGGGGAGTGAATCATCGGCCGGAAGATCTTCCTCTCTGTCTCTCCTCTCTGTATATCCGCCTTTCCAATGAAAAAATAATAAAAATAAATCTTTAAAAGTCATCTATGGAAAAGCAGCAATGGGTGCCCTGGAGAATAATTACCAATGATGTGATTTCATGGGTTTGATGATTGGGTAAGCAAAATATTCTTAAGGTAGGATGTCTTCTCTCCTGCCATTCAGATTAAACTTTACAGTTCAATCAATAACAACTTCTACCACACACAAGCTTATACTTGGTTGCAAATCCACATGGGTACTCAGAATATATACAATGGCAAAAATTTTGTTGAGATTTTCTTTTTCTTAAATAATCTTACTGAGTTGACTAGGGTACAAAGGGTCAAGGACTACAGGAAAGTGGGTAATACCATTGTTTTTCAAAAGTTATTCTCATGCTATGTCATGTCCATAACTGAGTTCTGTATATTGAAACTGATGCATGTTACTACCAACAGGACGGTGATTTTAGAGTCAGATAAAGAAGACCAAGAAGCAGTCAAAGCCTTGGACTAATTCGACACATTACAGAAGCTGGTTTGCTTGTATCTTCACTTTGGAAACAAGCTACTCCTACATCAGAACCATTGAGATCACTGCCAAGTTAAAATACTCAAGAAATAAAATCATACATGCAGACTTCTATGAATGTTACCAGCTACTGAATACTTGTCTCTGTTTTACTTGTGTGTTACCACTTAATATCACACCCTAATCATCTCTTATTCTGTACATTCTCAAACTCGGTATCTCTTTTTATTTGAAGGGTATTTATGGAATTTCTACATTTTGGTTTATATTATTAATATAAGAAAAGAAAGAGAGGCATTGTGTGCCTCTCCTATCTTGTAGTCCATTATGAAAAATAATCACAGGGATGACACAGGGGAGTTCTGAAAATGTGAATTGTTCTTGCTTTTTAAAAAATGTTTCGAAATTTGGTTTATTCTATTTCGGAGCATGTCTGAAGTCAGAAATTAATTTCTTCTGGTTCTGTGAATAACTAGCTCAGTGTGTCTGTTTTGCACTGGCGTAATCCCACAGCCAACCTACTTCACTTTCAAGGAACAATCCCTTTGGCAGACGTTGGATGGTATACATGTTTAGGCCCACCCTTCACTCTATCATGTGCCTCCCCAGGACACGGCCTCCCTTAGATGCTGCTCTCATCCACAGTTCCAGCAGGGGAGTGGATCAACTGTGAACACTTACTTACAGGTACACATATAGCTGCAAATGAGGCTGCAATAATGCTTAGATGAGGGAATGGGAGGACGTGTCTGCCTGGTTAAAATTCAGGGATCTATGACTAAAGTGGAGAATGAGTATTAGGAAATAAGTTTCTGGCACAACAATGAAGAAAAAAATAGAATAAAAGAAAGGCAGTCAAGGCTATAAAAGGGAAATTTCATCTTATAAATTGAGAGTCCCATCCCAGCACCATCAAGAATGAGAGGCACTTTGACAGATTGATGTACCTGTCAGACAGCGACATAGCAAGTTATCAAAGTTTAAACTTCTAAATCATATCATTACTTCTCTTTGTTCTGTTCCATGCCCACAGAAAAGCCTTCTCTTGCCCTAGGCAGTGTATGGGCTCTATAGGCCAATGCAAATGCCAGTTTACTTGATAGTTATATTTCTTCGTATCAATATTACATATTGACCATATGTAACCCAAAATTCCACAATGCCCCCTAATCAGAAATCTTTGGCTACTGACATGATTTCACAAGTGAAAAATTTCACACTTGACTTCATGTGACAAAACACAGGTGCACCATAAATATTATATAAAGTTACATTCAGATTACGCGTATAAGGTTTACAGGAAGCATAAATAAGTGTTTTCCTTCCTTACTGGAAAGAGAGATCTTACATACACTGGTACACTCCCAAAATGTTTGCAACAAGCACAGCTGGGCCAAGCCAATCCAGGTCTTCCATGTGGGTGGCAAAGACCCAAGTGCTTCAACCATCATCTGCTGCCTCCCAAGGTGCACCTTTGCCAAAGCTGCAATTGGGATTGCCGCCAAGACTCAAACCCAAGTGTTCAGACATGGGATCTCAGCACTTTAAGCATGGTCTTAACCACTTTACTAAATGCCCACCTCTAAATAAAATTTTACTTGAGAAGCAGAAAAGAGAACTCCCACCTGCTGGTCTACTCTCCAAATGTCTGTAGTAGCCCTGAGCTGGGGACTAAAGCCAGAAGCTAGGAACTCTGAATTCAGGTCTCACACATGTGTTGCAAAAATTCATCCACTTTAGCCATCACTGCTGCTTCTCAAGGTTTGCGTTAGCAGAAAACCAGAATCAGGAGCCAGAGGTACATATCAAGACAAGGCACTCCAATGTGAAACGCAGACTTCTTAACTGCTGCCTGCTGCCATAAACCAACTTGGGGTTTAGACCTGGGTGCTCTCCCCAAGATACATTTCTATGTATGTGCAACTATTCCAAAATCTGGAAAAAAAATTCTAAATCCAAATCACCCCTGGTCTCAAGCATTTCAGGGAAAATTAAGTTTGGACTTGTCAAACTAAGAATTAAGCCCTGGGCCAAGTTAATTTAATCAAGAAAATTTCTGCTTTGTGAGCTTTTCAGTCAACCAGCTTTCCGCTGATGACAACTCCCTGAGTTGACAGTGTTAAGAGCTAGCTATTGCTACAACAATGCTACATTACAAAGGGCTCTAAAGGAGTTTTGCATTTGTCCATGTCTCTGCAGAGCTCTGAAGGTTTGGCTCATCTAGGCTTGGCCAACAGCTCTGATTCAGGCTATAACATTTAGGGCAGCTCTGCTCTCACTGCCAGCCCATCTACGACCTGGGGCCTCCCCTGGCTCTGTGTTGTCCTCTTGGGGAGATATATGGACCAGTGCAATGTCTGAGGTATGTTCCTCTCATGAGAGCAAATAAAATAAGTGACGTGTTTTCTGGCATAGGCTCTGAAACTTGTGCTTCGGTCTGTTGGTCAGTCAGTCACACCATCACATGGAAAGAAAAGGGGTGGGACAAATGCTCTGCCTCCTCAGGAAGCAGAAGCCCAGAGTCACTGGACACAGGAAGCTGTGAAGACACCACACTTAGTTGACTGAACATCCTAAACAAGTGGATCTGGACCAGTCCAGGACACTAAAAGAACTTAAGATACAATTTAACGATTGAAACCAAAATAACAACTTTCAAAAATTGTAAAAGATAATATTAGAAATAAATGCTTTTCACTTAACATCAAGTGCCCATCTAGCTATGTCCTGACATGTAAATTTGCCTTATCAAACCCTGATGAAACTCTCAAGATACTATTAATGTTACACAGAAATGCAAATTGCTACAGGCAATACAGATACTGAATGAAGACCAGGATTTGAAACAAAATAACCAATGCTTCCTTAAACCATATCAGTTCTCTCTTTGATTGTTTTTTATCAAATAAAATAGAAAGAACATGTGTTGGATGTGAGATGTTACAGTCAGGACATAGAAAATTACTTAAATGGATTTGCCATATGGCCAGGCTTCATCCTGCTGAACATGCAATTTTCTGCTTAGTGGGGCTTCCGTCTATTCTCAGCTGACACTGAAACAGATTCGACCCCCAGCCCACGCCCAGCCCAGTTTCTATTGATTTTCAATGGCTCAAGGCCTTAGGAACTTGTCTGCTTCCCTATTTGTATTTAAAAAAAAAAAAAAAAAAAAGCAGTTTGAAAAGGCAATCAAAAACAAACTGGGATCAAAATCCAGAAATCTGGCTCAGAGGGAGCTTAGGCTATGTTCCTCAACCTCACGGTTTGTCTGAAAAGCAAGACCTTCAGACCCACTACACTTAGACACAAGACTCACTGATTTGAAAACATCTTGCACATTAAGAAGGTTGTGTAAAAGACAACGACTCTGGGCGTTTGAGGGAGCACACGGTGAAGGTTGGAGTGGTTTAGAAAGGCTCTTCCAGGAGCGGCAGGGTCATTATTTCCCAGGGCTGGAGAGATCATCTCCCTTCTAGCACAAGTCCAAGGGTAACCTCCCTTCTCATCGCTCTGTCTCACCGTACCTGCAGTACAAAGCAGAACCATTCCCTTGCTGAGATCCTGCTCATGCTCTGGCTTCTGAAAGCCAGTGTTAGCAGCTCTCCTCTCAGCCTGGAAAACTTGGATTCTGCCACCTTCTCTGGACGCTACCCACGCTGTGTCCCATAATCTGGCTGGTGTGCACCTGCTTCAGCATCGTTCTCTCTTTGGGCTGCTGCTGCTTTCCCTGGTGTAGTCCTGAGCACTGGAAGTGTGTCCCAGGCAGGTATGCACACCGAGCCTCTCCCTTTAGAGCTGGTAAATTTAGCTATAGCCGGGGAAACAGAGGCGCAATGTGGTACAGTTTTGTAATTGCAGAGTGTGCTTCATCATCCCATCTCAGGGGAGACGGGGGTTTTTTACAGACTAGTACAGGACCTCTCTGGATAAGAGCCGTGAGGGGCGTGGAGCTGGTCTTGCCGTGGCTCCCGCCCTGCTGAAAAACACAGAGCACTGGAGGAGGCCATAGGGGATGGGCCAGCCGGCGGGGCTGCCCACTCCGCAGTGACGTCCCCGCGGGCGGAGGAGTGACCGCTGGACTCCCACTCTCCCCGCCTCCTCCGGGTGCCCTGTGTGCCGGTCCGCGGGAGATGCCGCTGCAGTTGTGCCCGCCGTTAGCCCGGCCGCTTCACAGACATAGTACCCAACTGTCAGAGGGCGCACCAGAACCGGGCCATGCAGCTTGGGGCAGTTCTGCAAGCTGTGCTACTCGCCTTCCTGCTGGCGGGTCCTCCAGGAGCCCCCGAACGCCTGTGGAGCGGTGAGTGCTAACCCTGCAGGGAGGCTGGTGCGGCCGGGCTCCACGCTGCACTGAGGACCCGGGAGGAAGCCGCCACTGCCTCTTCTGGTTCTCCGTGGTGGGACTGGGATCCCGAGTCCCCAGTCTCAAATTTTGGATTCTGTGGAATCCTCAGGTCCGTGGAGTTAGGAAAGGGTGCGTTTCCGCGACCGCCCAGTTCCCTGCGTATACTGGAACTCGTTCGGGGTTATACTGGTGGGTGAGAGGACATGGGCTGAGTGGGGCATAGGCAATCTTGCACCCATGGCTGCCCCCTTGGGTGTACCCCCACTGAGCACGGCAGGGTTAGTCTGTGGACCCTCACGCAAAACAGGCTCACTATTTAGCTTCCGACCACTTTGTGTCTCCGTGATGCAGTGGGAAGCCTGCCTGTTCTCTTTGGATAGCGGGACTAGCTGAACCGGGCGCCTGAGACCAGAGCGCTTAGAGATCAGGAAAACCACGCAGTTAGCCCTCCTCCCCCCAAGCCGGCTTGATTCCAGGGAATGACTCTCTGCTTCCTTCCTCCTGTGTCAATGCAGCCTCGGACATGGACCCCAGAGGAGGTATAGTGCTCCAGTTTTTTGCCTTTTCCAAAGCTGTTTGCATGCCAGAGGGAGTTTGGCCATGCCCTCGCTCGCACAAAACCTCTCATGAATCCCCTTTGCGGGCTCAGACAAATGGGCAGACTGGTATCCCGACATGCGGAGCTGACTGAAAAAAGAAATCTTAAGATTGTTTCAGTACAGGCATGGGGAATCAGGCAACAAAAGGAAAGGGCTGCTTGGGCTCAGTACTCAACAGGTCTGGGGGGGGGGGGTAGAACTTCTTTCCGCTCTTGCCCTTCCTGCAAGTGAAGAGGACACTTCCTGGAAGCAGGGGAACCAGATGGGCCCTTGGGCCTGTTTCCAGCCCTGGCGGCCTCTGGCTATTGCCTGCACATTCCACTGGACACTCTTGTCCAAGAGGCATCCATGGATTCAGCAGCAGCTTGTAGCTACCCTAGCTGCAGCAGAAGGTAGCTGTACCTGGGGACTCATACGCTTCCCTCTGCTGGAGCTAAGTTAAAGGAATCCCGGAAGACTGGCTGGCCCAGCCTCCTCTCCATGCAGCATTCAGCCACAGCCTCCTTGGAACTCCTCCCAGGTCAGAATGCCCACCCCACCCCCAACCCCTTTGGAGCCCTTCTGATTTGCTGATGGGCAGGTCCAGATAGAGCAACAGCCAAGGAATGAAAGAAGGGAGCAGATGCACCGTTGCTATTCCTCATTGCTCCTTGAGAATGTTGTTACAGAAGTGGTGAAAGAAACAGAAAAGAAAAAGTTGAGTCATCTGTATGTCCTCTTCCCCAGGTAGTGCAATTCACACCCACAGCTCACATTTTGGTTCTCTCATTGGAGGGGGTGACTTCCCTTGGAAAGGTGGTTTTCACTTTGTCCATTTAGATTCAGAAGCATGGACCATGGGATAAAAACTGGCACTTGTTTCTGTATTCCCAGCACCTAGCACAGGCACAGAGCAGGTACGTCATAAATGCCAACTGAGCACAGGCATAATAATACTCATGTTTCAACTGCAGAAAGGGCTTCCATCACCCAAAGACAAGAAAGAGTGACATATGCTTGTGAACTCTTTGTTTACTGCTCCGCAGTGGGATCCCCTCTGTATGCCTGAGATGGTCTTTGGCCCTCGGAATGTCCATCAGATGAGACACACTATATGGGCTCCCTGTATGCAAGCCTGGGGTGAGCTGGAATGGGGAGCCAGGTGTATAATTCAGTGATACCAACATGACTTTATCATGAGTTTCGGCTCAAGTGTACTACTGAGAGCTGTATATTCTCAGCTGAATGGCTTAATATCTCCAAGCTTCAGTTTTCTCATTGGTAAAATGGGGCAGGATCAACAGCTGCATCCTGGGATTGTTATGAAGGTGAAAAGACAAAAAATGCATATGTAAACATAATATCCTAACCTTAGTACAGAGAACACTGTAAGTGTTCAGTAAACAGAGTGCTTGAGTTTAGGTTCACAAGAGACTGTCCTGAGCAGAAAACGTCACACATCTGATGCCCTTAGCTTCTGCCTGACCTGGAGATTGACTGAACTCTCAATCCTTCTACATAGACAAGGGGTCCCACAATAAAAAAAGCCCATGACAGATTCTGAATGCCTGTCTTGCCTGACGGAATTACTAGATACTTGCTTTAAGCCATACTGTCTCCCCAAAACTCCTTAATGGCATGAAGGTGCTATTTGTTTGCTTTGAAGTAAAATTCTAAAGCGTTATCTGTTTCTCTTTTTAAGGGCTAATAAAAAATGTCTGCTTTTTAAACAATCTGTAGTAGAATAATAAATCCTGATTTCCCTACACTCTATGCCCCTCTAGAGTTTAAATAGCTGCATCTTCATGCTGGAAGAAATATTTGCTCTGGAATCCCTGACTTGAATGCATGAGTAATCACAATTCCTGCCCAGCTATAGCTTCATTTAGACATCTACAGGTACCCCTACCCACGAATGCCTTTTGTACACAGAAACAGGTTGGTTTCTTTTCTTTTTATCCTCTTTCTCTAGGGCAGTTGGTTTGCCGGGGAGGAACACAAAAACCTTGTTATAAAGTCATTTACTTCCATGATGCTTCTCGAAGACTGAACTTTGAGGAAGCCAAAGAAGCCTGCAGGAGAAATGGGGGCCAGTTGGTCAGCATTGAGTCTGAAGATGAACAGAGACTGATAGAAAAGTTCATTGAAAACCTCTTGGCATCTGATGGTGATTTCTGGATTGGGCTCAGGAGGCGTGAAGAGAAACAAAACAATGGCACAGCCTGCCAGGATCTTTATGCTTGGACTGATGGCAGCACATCAAAATTTAGGTAAGTGTGTGGGACTCACAGCAGCTGGCTCACTTGACATCACTCAAAAAAGAAGCTGGCTGGATCCAGTGCCATATCAGGGAGGCAGAGAAGACTTGGCCAGGCAGAAGAGTTACTAATCAAAGCAGTGTGGTGGCGCTTGTAAATGCAGACCTACTTCGGGTCCATTAGATGGCCAAAGAGCTCTGTTCAGGTGGATGTGACCCAGTGGCCTCGTTTCCACAGCCCTTGAATTCAGTGGTTCTGGCAATCTGGCCTTTTGGATAGGAACCTTTTTAAATCCATAGGGCTGAGACTCCAGATAGGACTCTAGACACAGCAAACTCTATAAGTCATGGATTAACCAAGTGAAGGGACTTCAAGAAGGGCCTCACGACCCTTCTAAACCCACAACATCATAAGCTGACTCACATCCCACATTGCTATCATCCCTCCATAAAGTGCAATGACATAAACAATGTTTAAGGCATATAAAAATTGAGACAGACATTAGATTGAGGAAATGTAGTTAGTTTAACAGAGTTGGTATCTTTTTGTAATGGAGTACTTTTTTATAAGTCAATAAGACACTAAGACCCCAAAATATGACAAAAGAACTGGCATTGTTCACAAAACAGAGTATCTAACAATCACATGGGGAAAAAAGTCTAAACTTACTCTCAATCAAACAAATGAAAATTAAAACATTTTTTACCTGTTACTTCTAAGGCAGTGTGTTAGCATCTTTCTCAGGCTGCCCATTATGCTGAACATCTTCAAATTAATTTGGAGAGCAGAATTCTCTTGGGCTTCTATTCCTGGGGGAAATAAAGGAAGCTTAGTTGGGTGAATATTTCCCATCAGTGCTGCTGCCCTCAGAGCCACAACTGATATTTATTGGCTTCCCTGCTCCCTATTCAGTCCAGATCCCCTAACCTACAGTGTTTCTACAACTGACCTTACTACATGACCCACACTCTCATTTCTGAACTTTAAGGTCCTAGTCACCTCTACTTCTTAGGCTAGGGGTTGTGTACTTTTCTACTGATCTTCAACATTGACAGGTGAGTACACCAAGAGGTGCTCAAGGAGATAAGCTGGGAGGCCTTCTCCCTGCCTCCAAGGTAGAACAGCAGACCTGTCTGCTTGAGCATCCTGCTAAGATAGTGACTTCTCTTCTTGGAGGTCACCCTCTGTACACGAGGATCCCAAAGTGCCCAATCAGTACCTAGAACTCATAGTACAATAAGACGCTTGCTTATTTAAGGGTAAAGTATTCCCCTTTGAGAACCAAAACCTCTACCTGGAGCTCCACATTACAGAGGTAAGAAGCACACATTCCTTCTTTCTTCTTCTTGGCCTCCAGGATCATGTGCTCTACTCTTCAAGACATGAGACTATGAATCGTTCATTTAAGTGCAGTGCATCTTACAGATTAGTGCCCTATCTCTGAAAAGCAAAGCCTCTAAGATGGTGCTTCAGCCATTTCTATCAAGTTGTTCCTTCCTTCTGTCCACTGGCAGCTTCAGGATGACACAGTATGTGATAGGACTAGTAGAGTCCATGACAGGTTCCTATTCCCACCCACACTTTGTTAGAAAGTAGTTCCCTTTGTTTTCTGAGATGTTACTTGGGCTCCTCTTCTGGGAGATTAAATACTGTGTAGGCCTTTGCAGTGCTGCTCTCTAACCCCCTAAGGACTGTCTGCTATTTCTGTCCGAATGAATCACTGTCCCTTTCAGGGACCCAGAGAATGACAGGTTGGTCTCCGCAAATCTTGGTGCTGTGTCAGAGACTCAGCATTGGCTCTCTGCTGCTGGGAGGTTGAATGCTGGCTTTAGCAAAAGTAAGATCAGCTAAATTAGTTTAGCAGTAGTTAGCTCAATTACATCAGTGGAGCCAATCATATTGAGCCCACATATAGCTTCCTCCTTGGCTGCTAGAGATGTGGCTGCTACCAGGCTGGCCAACATAACCTAGGTGAGTCATTATATCTTCCTGATGGTTTAGTGCCTCTTCCATGGTAACTGCTTCCTCACAGGCTTTAACCTGTAATAAAAAGATCATCCTACATTATTCCCTTCCCATATGCCTTCTCCTGTTTATCCAAGACCCTCCCCCAGTGTCTGTTCCCAATTATTCAACACTCCTGAGTCCTCAATCTTTCAGTCTCTGCTTAGATTCCTCTTCATTTGCCATACTGTTTGCGTTACCCCTGAGTGCTCATATATTCTAATCTCTGATAACTTCTCTCGATTAACTAAGTTAACTTGCTTAAGTAATTTGACAGCCAAAACAATGACCATCTTCTTATCACTATCTTCAAGGCTACCTCTGAGTGGGGTGTCAGCACTGCTGCAGTGAAGCTTTTGTCCAGTTGTTTTGTATTTGCAAACTAAGTTAACCTATCCAAGATCCAGGCTCCAGCTGCCTCAACCAGCCATTAATGAGGGGTTCCCTCAAACACAGCTATAAGCCAAGGAGAGGCTCTGGTACCAAAAGTAAAACAGAAATAAGTCTTTCAGACTAGCCCTGCCAGCTGTTTGTTCTTATAATTACTTTGCTTATATTACATAGTATACTGCCCTTGCTAAGAGGTTATGACAAATTTGAGATGATTGATTCTGATGTATATATAAAAAAGCATCTTTGTTTATTCCTCTCGCTCTTCGATTGTGTTCTGAAGCAGAATTGGGTGGCTCAGCAGAGCTTGAGAAGAAAATAATGGCTTTGATGTCTTGGGACATCTGCCATCCCAAAGTTTGGACATGTCTTAGATATTAGTAGATAGGACGGGCCACCTCGATTTTCAGCCTCCAAATCCATGAGCTAAATATAATAACAGAAAACACATCAACACAATATCCTTCTCCAGCTGTCCCATTGCTGATTCCTTTTCTACAGGAATTGGTATGTGGATGAGCCTTCCTGCGGCAGTGAGGTCTGTGTGGTCATGTACCATCAACCGTCGGCACCTGCTGGTATTGGAGGTCCCTACATGTTCCAGTGGAATGACGACCGCTGCAACATGAAGAACAATTTCATTTGCAAATATTCTGATGGTAATGAATCCTCTTTCAAGTGATGTGGCTAACTTCTCAATCTTCTCATTTCATAAGCGGTTGCTGGTACCAAGAATTTGTTATGTGATCTCTGAAAAAGCTTGTTGCAAGTGCCAGCAGTGTTAAACTTGGGGAAGTCTTATAATAAATGGGTAGGCAATGACATTGCCCATCTTAGGATTAGCTAGCAAAGGAAAGATTATCAGACACTAAGAGAAAGGCTGTGAGAAAAAGAAAGTCTAGTTTATACGTGATAAAGCAACACTTCAGAGAACTCCAAGAAATAAAAAGCCCTCTCTGGGGACAACCACAGAGTCTTATTCTTTCCACATGTGAGATTTGCTGTAGGAGCTTGGAGTAAGCTGGCCATTGCTCCTGCAAGACCAACAATCATGTGAGAGTGTTTTCTGTGGCTTGAAAGAAACGCAACAACAACCAGCAGAAATACATGACCAAGTGTATCAGTTTCGCTGCCACTGGGCAAGATAGCAGGCATTTTTGCTGATCAGGTTTAAATTCCTCACACCACCCTTGTACCTGCCTTACCAATTCAAGTTTGTTGCCAGGATCTGTAAGGGTTTGGAATTGCCTGCAAGCCCATGGTCCTACTCTGCTGATGTTTTCCAGATTCTTCTACTGAAGTTGAGTTGGATTTAAAATGGAGCTGGTTCTTGATCTGTCTCTGAAATTTCTCACCTCCCTAAAAGCTAACTGTTTTGGCCCCAATTCTGCATTCTTTCCTGTAGGAATAAAGTGCCTTGTTAGTTACATCTAGTTTAGGACTAAATAACCCTGCCATTTAAAATTGTTTGAATTGGACTGTAAGTATTGGGGAAAATTTTTATTGCTGAGATGTTTTTCCTCTGATGAAGTCTTCTCTCTGATGACCTGGCTCTCCCCACCATAGAGAATTGCCTCAGACGGAGAGACTGCAAAAATCTAGACTGCTTAGCAGGTCCATTTCTTAGAGCAATGAAAGCAAAGCATTTGTTGGTAACTGGCTTTCCCAGGCATTGACAGAGTTGTAGTCAAAGCATAAGAGACAGGAAAGCCAGGGACCAAGCATGTTTTTTTCCAATACACCTACTCTCATCCTTCAGGTTCAGGATAAATATCACCTTTTCCCCCCAACAACTAACTGAAACAAATGATCCTGGATTGGATCTGAGACCATGTTGACCATGATGGTGATAATGGTTGTGACAATGACAATGGTGATGGTGATTTTCTATTAAAGACACTTGTCAGAATTTGAATAAGATTTGTGCATTATATATAATATCATTACATCAATTTTTTGTTTTTTGCCATCATACTATGCTTATGTAATAGAATGGGTCTCTTCCCTTTTCAAGATTCATTCATTCATTATTCATTTGCTAAGCACAGTAAAAGAGAGAAACAGAGAGATCCCAAAATGAATGCAACAGTTAGGCCAGGCCAAAGTTAAGAGCCTGAAACTCCATTCAGGTCTCCTTCATGTGTATCAGGAACCGCTGTACTTGAACCATCATCTAATGCCTTCCCAGCACTCTGATATGGGTTTCTAGTATTGCAAGAGCTCTGCCACAATACCATCTCCCCCTTTCTTTCAAATATAGAATGAAATATAGAGATATAGAATCAAATATAGAATAATAGGGCATTATGCACACACACAGATAGATCTGGGCAGGTATCTGGCAGTGCTTTAAAGACACAGCTTGGGATGCCTACATCCCACATCAGAGTACCTCAGTCCATGTGCTAGTCTGCTTCTGATTCCAGCTTCCTGCTAATGTGCACAGAGGGAGGCAGCAGGGATTGCCTCAACTAATTCCGTCCCTGCTGTCCAGACAGAAGACTTGACTAAGTTCTGGGCACCTGGATTTGGCTTGGCATATTAGACTTGGAGGTACTGTGGACATTTAAGGAGCGAACCAGTGAGTGGAAGACCTTTGTGTGTGTCTGTCAGTTTGTCTCTGTCTCTGCCTTTCAAATAAAAATAAAGCTGATAATCCAATAATAAAGAAAAATGTTAAGACAGAGATAATTAGAGACAAAATAAGAAAATGAAATGTAGTGAGATGGTAAGGTGAAGGATCATGAGAGGTCTTCAAACCATGATTGTAAATCATATATCTGAAATTATTTTAAAATAAGAAATTTAAAAACTTCCCCTGGAAAACCTTCCAGGATCTTTTAAAACTAGGTTGGCCATTCTCCCATGAGGATGAGATAACCTTATACACAGTGTACTTTAATTGCCTTCCTCCGATTCTGTCCACTTTACCACTTGGTTGATATGAGGTCTGGAAACACACATTTAAGCACTTGATGGGTGAGGCGAATGGTCACTTATTAGTGACCATTCACAAGATGGCACACCAGCCCATCAAGAGAGTGGGGAGTGACAGTCTCTAAAACTGGATGTGAGAACATGGCCATGTGGAATCAGTCACCTGCTGGCCACACTGAACACCTGATTACCTGTGAAGCACGTTAGAGGCATAGGCACATTCAGAGAAATCAGATACCTCACAGATGCATGCCAAAGATCAGTGCAAATGCTGCATGGGTGTTTAGGGTTCATTCCTGCACAGTGCATTGGCCTAGGGAGGGGGCAGGACAACAGTAAGAATAGATGTTGAAGTTAATACTTTACAAAATACATATTCCAATGAAAAATCGCAAAATAAATGTTATCTAATAGTCTCCTGTACTTTCAGATTATATGGTCATCCTATAAAATATCTTTTTAAAAACTATAGGACCAAGATTATTTTTTTAAAGATTTATTTTTGTTATGTTTTTATTGGAAAGCCAGATATACAGAGAGGAGAGACAGAGAGGAAGATCTTCCGTCCGATGATTCACTCCCCAAGTGACCACAACGGCTGGTGCTGCGCTGATCCAAAGCCAGGAGCCTCTTCCGGGTCTCCCACGCGGGTGCAGGGTCCCAAAGCTTTGGGCCGTCCTCGACTGCTTTCCCAGGCCACAAGCAGGGAGCTGGAAGGGAAGCGGGGCTGCCGGGATTAGAACCGGCGCCCATATGGGATCCCGGGCGTGCAAGGCGAGGACCTTAACCACTGCGCCACCACGCCGGGCCCCCAAGATTATTTTTAATCTGCTCTTTTATCTTTACTGCCTCATGAAGTTGTATCTCCTTCTACTTTAATTTTCATTTGACTTTATTTGGTTGAAATCTTAGTTCAACCACTTATTACCTATGAGATTTGTGAAAGTTGCTTACTTTCCCCATGTCTTGGTTTCTTCATGGAAAGCCAGAGTAATGAGACTAACCTCAAGAGGCTCTTCTCAGGATTGATTTTATTCATGTGAGACATTTAGAACAGTTTCTACCACACAGTAGGCACCACATAACAATTGTTGTGTTTTAATAAATTATTTTGAATCCTCCTCTAGACACATTTATGAGAAGATGATTAAGAGTTTCTGTCCTTTCTGAGTAGAACTATGACTAGGCTTGGCCTGGCCTTGCAAATACGATTTCTAAAACTGTACCCTTGAGCAGCCTGTCCCTGTGAACCTTAGGGCATGACTCACTGCCAGTGCTAGAGGTGGACATTCCCTCAGCTAAAAGCAAAAACACTTGACATAGGCTGTCTCGTATCCTGCCTTTCCTGAGAGCACCAGAATTGTGGAGTTGGTCAGTAGTCTACTTAGCTGCTCACTTACTTCTGCTATTTGGAGATGAGTTTGTTGTTCTCCCAAATACCCCCTATATGAACTAATAAAATATATGGGATTATGTTAAAGTAACCCAGGCTGGGAATGTAGTACAGGAGGAATAGAGATTATTGTTAAAACTGGAGAAATTTTACATTAAGTTTTACACTAAGTTGAAGTTATATAATAGCACATTGGGTTTCATTATGGTAGTTTTTCTATTTTGGTGTATAATTTTGAATTCTCATACTCAGATGTTTTAAAATATTTTCTAAAAGTGAAAAAAAAAAAGCATGAAAGTAAAGCCACAGAAAAGGCAGCCTTTATGTAAAAAAAAAAAAAGTCATTCTTTTGTCTTACTAACCTAATTCCTGGTATCTAGTAACAATAAACAGGGTATCAGATGGTCAAACAAGCAAATAAGTGGATTCCATGCTCTAGCTTATTACATTCAGATGGTATGAAAATTATATAGTTATTGTTTTCTTTTTTGTTTTCTTCTACTATAGAGAAGACAACAACTCCTTCTACAAGGCATAGAGGTGAGCCTATAATTTGAAATATGGGTTAATTAAGGCTGTTCCACAGATCTTGTTAATAAATTTAGAAACATGTTTCCTTTAGACCTGACATTCAATAGAAAGACCACTATTGGTAACCCAGACAGTTTGTACCAGCATATGCCACGCCTAAGCATGACAACCAGTTCATTAGTCTCTGTCCGTGATATTGTCTACTTCTCTTAAAACTGAAAAGCAACAGTTTTAAGTTCAGTTTTGAGTATTACTTGTTATTACTGTCAAAATGAAGGGAACTGTTTTTTATCTAATGAGACAAGAAATGAGCCAAGCTGATTACTCATGGTTCCAAAAACCAGCCATTGGCCCTTCTTCTCAGTACTTCAGTACTTTATGTACCTTGATGTCATCTGTTAATTGATTGCTTTGGCCTTTGACAATTAAACCTCCAGGGCAGAAAATTCCACCCTTTGCTTTGTTGTTTATAATATAAGTGGGACTGGTTGCATTTCCCTTGCTAAGTGGCATCCTGATTTGAACATGATAGGATCTTGGGAGATGCCTGCAATGCAAGGCCTTTCTGCATGTTCTCAAGTTCATGTATCTCTCTCCAGGTTCAGCAACAGAGCCAGCTATACCCATATTTCCAGAAGAAACACAGAAAGAAGATGCCAAAGAAACATTTGAAGAAAGTAAAGGTATATACACCATACATACCTGGGAGAAACAGATAACAGGAGTCACTCAATTACAAATAGTCCATGGTTACTTTCCCTACTTTGTTCTTTCCCATGACTACTTACAAATAGAATTAGATGGGACAACTGTGACTTGACAAAAGCCAAGTTAGATGATGTGATGAAATATACAGAAAGCATTATCCTAAGATTAAAGATTGAACTGGACAGAAAATGAAAAATCGACATGAAGATAGAACCACAAGGACCACTTATGGGACACAACATGGAGTGGAGTGGGGGTGAGAGAGTGGATGTAGAAAAACAGGACTAGAAGTACCCAAGACATAACATGTAACATCTGTAATGAAAATGCTTCTGTGAAACAGAGGAAATAGAAACACTTCAAGTGGAGATCTCAAAACATACACGCAAGTGCAACGATAGATCAGATGCTAATGGACCTTGAATCTCACCCCTGTCCTGAGTTTCAAGAAAGAATCTTGCTTCTGGTCACTGGGCAACTTTAAACAAAACCAGTTAGCTTCTCTATACTTGAAGTTGTAGTTTCCTTTCTAGCTGATAGCATTCCTGTGACAGTAAAATGAAGTCAGCTGTTGTAATGCCACAGTTCAAATCTGATACTAACCAGTAGAATTAGAAGTGACCCTACAGCTTACAGGCACAATCCACAACAAGAATGTCCCCACTTGAGATCAGCCACAAGTTTGGGGGCACCCACACTTCTGACCGCTTTGCTACAGATCCAGGGATGCCCACTATCCTTCCCCTCCCAGTTCTGATAATGCCCTAGAACAACTCACAGAATCCAGGAAAACATTATAGCTAAACCTACTCTTTGCACAGATATAAAGCAAGAACAACCAAAGAAAGAGACACATAAGCCTGTCTCCAAGTGGGGTGCTTCCATGTCCTGTTGGCAATGGGATCCAGTTGTGTCATCCTCCTGGTACATTGATGTGCTGATCAGCCAGAAAGCTCTACTGAGCTTTGGTGACCAGAGGCTTTATTTGCATTTCATTTCCCATGTGTGATCTGTTTGTTCAGGTGATGGAATTCAATCTCCAGAGGTCAGGCTCCTGTCACCTGGCTCCAACCTCCAATCTATGAATACATCATCACTCTTTGAGATGTGACCAGTCCTCATCTTAAGACACGGCAGAGAAGCTCCTAAGTAACAAAGCCACCCCTACTTCCCAAGCAAATTCCAAAGACATACAGCCACAAAGACCCAGAGACAAATGCTAATAAAAAATTCTTGGCTGTGTAACAGATCCCATGTGTGAAAATGCTTTGAGCAAAGTATGAATTGCTGGGCAAGGGTAACTGATATTTCTGTTGTTTGGTGTTATTATGGTGATGTATATGGTGGGTTTAGGTGTTTTGTTTGGCTTTTCATTTTAGATGGTTGCCAGGTTTGCCGTCTCATAGAAGCAGCAGCAACTAGATAGTGAGCCATCTTAGGTCAACAGCCTTTTGCTAACTGCTCGCTGTGTGTCTGTCTCCTGTTCAGAATGCGCTCTTTGGAATTCTTTGCCATTTATGCTTTTAAGCCTACTTGGAAGTATGTGTACATCACTTGGAAGTAAGAGAAAGCATCAATTCTGACAGTGCACTTTTTTCTTTCCAGAAATGGCCTTGAATCTTGCCTATGTTCTAATCCCCAGCATTCCCCTTCTCCTCCTCCTTGTGGCCACCACAGTTGTGTGTTGGGTCTGGATCTGTAGAAGGAGGCAAGTAAAACCTTTCTTGTGTAAAACTTTGCATTTTTCTGCGAGATGAGATTGAACACTGCCCTGTTTGCATCAGTAAAAGCACAGGCAGCTACAAGACAGTCACCCACTGCAGACTTGGTGAATTCTCTGATGGGTTCAGGGTAATCAAAAACACCAAGCATGTGTGCTTTGCTGTGATTAAACAGTGACTTCATCTTCCTTATCTGGTGTGTGGGGGGGGAAGATTTTTAAACTTGAAGTGCAAAACTGTGTTACTCACTTCTTACTATCCACTGGTAGACTCTTACTCTGCAAATGTTGAATGAGTGAAGAAGTAAACAGTGAGCCATATTAAAAAAATATATATATACATATCTGTTCCAAATCATTCTAGAAACACCTGAAACTGGGGCTGGCACTGTGGTGTAACAGGTTGAGCCTCTGCCTGCAGTACCAGTATCCAGAATGGGCACCAGTTTGGGTCCCAGCTGATCCACTTCCAATCCAGCTCTGTGCTAATGTGCTTGGGAAAGCAGCAGCAAACGGATGATCCATGTCCTTGGGTTCCTGCATCTACACGGGTGACCAAGTGAAGCTCCTAGATCCTGGCTTGAGACCAGCCCAGCTCTGGCCATTGCAGCCATTTGGAAAGTGAATGAGTAGATAAAAGAGCTCTCTTTTGATGAATCTGCTTTCAAATAAAACTAAATAAATCTTTTTTTTAAAAAAAAAAAGATATATTTGAAATTAAACCACTTAATTCAAAGTAAGACAGCTAAATTCCTTCTCATTAACCTTTTTTTCACCAGAATACATAGCTGTAGATTACTACCAAACGGCTGTACCATGAGGTCTAGATCATCACTAGGCTATCTTCCCCAGGTTTCCAGATCCCTTCTCAGTTACCTTTCATTCCTCACCATTGTGGCATGTGTAGATAAAAGCTAATAGTCCCATTTTACAGAATGAAAACTAACATCCAACTTAAGAATTGCCTCATTAGGATGTCCAGTGGGAATGAGCTAGTAAGATTCCAGTGTATAATCTATTCAATATTAAAATTTTTAATGATTATTTTAGGATAAAATCAGTGAATAAATACAGAGTAGGTGTTGGGAAATGTTAGCTATTGTGATCATTTCATTAGTTATTTCCTTTGAATCAAATTAAAATTGTTTGCTTTTTTTTAAAGATTTATTTTACTTTTACTGGAAAGGCAGATTCACAGGGAGAGATACAGACAGAGAGAAAGATCTTCCATCTGCTGGTCCACTCCCCAAGAGGTTGAAACAACCATAGCTGAGCTGATACAAAGCCAGGAGCCAGGAGCCTCTTCCAGGCCTCCCATACAAGTACAGGAACCCAAAGCTTTGGGCCGTCCTCGACTGCTTTCCCAGGCCATAAGCAGGGAGCTGGATGGGAAGTAGAGCAGCTGGGACATAAACCAGCACCCATATGGGATCCTGGCATGTGTAAGGCAAGAATTTAGCCACTGAGTCATTGCATCAGGACCTAAAATTCAGTATTAAATATTACAAAGAAGTTTACCAACTTTTTACTCTGCAGTTGGTTCTTTTTTAGAAGATGTATTTATGGGTCCAGCACAATAGCCTAATGGCTAAAGTCCTCGCCTTGCATGTGCCAGGATCCCATATGGGTGCCAGTTCATGTCCCGACTGCCCCACCTGCTTCCCATCCGGCTTCCTGCTTGTGGCCTGGGAAAGCATTTGAGGACAGCCCAAGGCCTTGGGACCCTGTGCCAGCATTGGAGACCCAGAAGAAGCTCCTGGCTCCAGGCTTTGGATCTTCTTAGTTCTGGCCGTTGCGATCACTTGGGAGTGAATCAGCAGACAGAAGATCTTCCTCTCTGTCTCTCCTACTCTCTGTATCTCTAACTATCCAATAATATGGATTATTTTTAAAGATGTACTATGTGAAAGATAGAGATCCAGAGAGAGAGAGAGAGAGAGAGCTCTTCCATCCACTGGCTCACTTCTCAGATAGCTGCAAGCAGCCAAGGCTGAAGCCAAGAGCTTCTTCTGGGTCTGCCATGTGGTGCAGGGGCCCATTCACTTGGGCCATCTTCTACTGACTTCTATGGCACATGAGCAGCAAGCTGAAGTGAAAATGGACCAGCGAGGACTTAAAGTGGTGCCCACATGGGGCTTTATTTACTATGCCACCATACTGGTCCCTGCTGTTGGTTCTTGATTTCCCCTCATTACTCTATTTAGCTCCTTATCATGATTTGGAGTTGTGATTCTAATGCAGAAATCGGTTCCTAGGATTTTGAATATGCCTGTGTGTGTGTGTGCGCGCGCGCGCGCGCGTGTGTGTGTGTGTGTGTGTGCGTGGGTGTGTGTGTGTGGGTGTGTGTGTGTGCGCGCGTGTGGGTGTGTGTGTGTGCGCGCGTGTGGGTGTGTGTGTGAGCGCGCATGCTCGCACGCGCCACAGATTGCTGTTGCAGTCTGGTGGAGCCTCTAGACTTCTGCCCAGAACAATATTTTTAAATGTATAAAATAAAACACATTTGGTTGCAAAGGACCCAGTAATTCTGTTATAGTTGGGCACAATATTTCCAAAAAGGAGAATGCAGTAAAGTTATTCTTTATTAATGCCTTTTCATTTAGTGGTGGTATAATTAATTTTGAAATATAGATGGACATTCAGTATTTTAAGACAGCTATAGCTGTGATGTGAAATGAAAGCATGTATGTTTTCTATTGGTGACCAAGTCAAGGTATTATTCATTCTACTCTGGTTTGTTACCTTTGTTCATAATGGAACTATGTGATAAATCTCATTTAGAGATTAGATTTCAAAATATGACTGTTTGTACATCCGGATTTTGTTTGTTTGTTTGCTTGCTTGTTTGTTTGTTTGTTTGAATGGCAAGGAGACCATTCATTCACAGTAACCCCAGCTAGGTCAGGCCAAAGCCAAAATCTTAGAACTCAGTCAGGGACCCAAGCACTTCAGCTGTCCCTGCTGCCCCTGGATGTGAAATGGATGAACAAGTTGGCATTTGATCCCAGGCACCCTAATATGGGATGTATGCATCCCAAGGTTACTGTTTAACTGCTGCACCCTGTATGTCAAGCTCTGTCCTTGCAACTTTGGTGAACTTGCAGATTTCAGATACACAGTGGCTTTGAGCATAACACTTCTCTGTTCCCTTCCCACCCCCAAAGCCCTGGCCTGTATGCTGTGTAGGTGAGAAGTGGAGCTCAGGGACTGCACAGGATATGTGCAGTTGGATGGTCTCAAGTTCTCAAGCATGCTTTTCTTTCCTGCCAGAAAACGGGAGCAGCCAGACCCTGGCACCAAGGAACAACGCACCATATGGCCCGCCCCTCACCAGCAGAACAGCCCAGACCTAGAGGTCTACAACGTCATCAGAAAACAAAGTGAAGCCGACTTAGCTGAGACTCGGCCAGATCTGAAGAACATTTCATTCCGGGTGCATTCCGGAGAAGCCACTCCGGATGATGTGTCGTGTGACTATGACAACATGGCCGTGAATCCATCAGAAAGTGGATTCCTGACTCTGGAGAGTATGGAAAGTGGATTTGTGACCAATGACATTTATGAATGCTCCCTGGACAGAATGGGGAGGAGCAAGGAATCTGGATGGGTGGAAAATGACATATATGGATATTAGGGATGCATGAGAAAGAAAAAAACTTAAACAAGAATGAAAAAGAAATAAGAAGAAAAATTCTTCTATTTTCTATAAGGAAAAGATTCAAAACGTCTATGAAGATGTTCAGATCCGCATGTCATCCTCATTAGCCCAAGTCTGGGATGCACCTGTCATCCCAACCTCTCACCTCATTCAGTGTTGTGAGGACGCACCTGCCCTGAGAGTGGCACTTCGTTGAGTGTCATGGATCATCAGCTGACCATTCATATCGGATTTTCAAGGATCTGTGCCTTAACCGGCAGGGAAAGTGTAGCACTGAGGAGCTTAGAAACTCTAAGAGCCTTGTTCCTTTTTCTGCTCTGCAGCACATTTCATCCCAATGAGACAGAAACTACAGCATCTTTTCCACAACCACATATGGTCACTCCAGGCTGACCTGCACATCAATGAGTGTCATAGCTAGTTTTTTTTTTCTCAAAGAATAAACATTTAAAAGCAAAAAAAAAAAAAAAAGCAGGAAGCAGAATGTTGCTGAATCTGTCTCTAGCCCTTCCTCTGCGTGTGGCCCTCTGACATCCAAACTTGGAAATACTTGGGTAACTCAAAATGAACTATTCAAGCCTTCTTTGCACTCCCAGCTGTGATACTACACGTTGCTCTGTGCTTTGCCACATCATCAACAATATTCTTAGTAATCACAGTAATCCTATCTTTTGTTTGAGGGAGCTGACATTTGATTTCAACCCCAGAGAAAAGTTTCCTGGCCTTGCACCAACCATATCCCTGTACAGGTCTGAAAGCCATGACTTAGATCATCAGTAACCTCACGCTCTCCTCTTAGCATTTTAATTTTGCTCACACATCTTATTCTTCACTAACTTAGCAACTCAACCTCACATATACAGCCTCACATATGTAGTCTGAGTTAACTGTTCCGGGTCAGTGCAATACCGGATATAATAGAACGTATTCTGTGCCCAATTCTCTGCCCTTCTAGGGGGCAGACAACAGGGTGAGTCACATTTCTGCTAGCTCAGAGTGTGTTCTATGGTGTTAAAACATTTCCAGCAAAAAACAGTGAGCATATGATCTCAAGGATTGGCTGCCATTTTCTTTCAGACATCCTGCCTCTGCAAGCTGCCCCTCAATCCCACAGCTCTGGCCCCTCTTGGGCTGCAAAGGCCACAACGGTTAGGAATCCTGTCTGCCCCTGAACACTGTCCCTCCTGCAACCTATGGCAGCACAGGATTCAATATTTGTGGAATGGGTGAATGACACACCTTCCAGTAAATGGAAAACTGCCAGATGATACCAGCTGAAAGGTTGGCAGGACCTGTTTTACACTCTGTCCTTTGGTGGAGGAGGCGATTGAGTAACCTGAGTTTAAATGCACTCCTGCTTGGAAAGAAGCCTTCCTTCTAAGCTGGTGCACTGTATTAGTAGATTCCTTTGGTTACATCACTAAACTTAAAGTGAGGATCCACTCTTAGTCCATGAAGGGAGTACAGTGATAACCAGAGTGGACCAGGCCTCCCTTCAATTTCACAATCGGAAGTGTGTCATCCCTGCAAGCCACAGATCTTTTCCTTCTGTGTCTGTGCACAGCCAGTCTTACCCCATATTTTAATTGTTCCCTTTCTTTTTTTAAGATTTATTTTTATTTGAATGGCAGATTCTACACAGAGAGAGGGAAGATCTTCCATCCTTTGGTTCACCCCCAACCTTCCCAAATGGCCACAACAGCCAGAGCTAAGCTGATCCTAAGCCAGGAGCCAGGAGCTTCTTGCAGGGTCCCAAAGACTTGGGCCATCTTCTGCTGCTTTCCCAGGCCGTAAGTGGAGTGGAGTAGCTGGGATACAAACTGGCATCCATATGGAATGGCAGTGCCACATGGGGGAGGATTAGCCTGATGAAGCACCACCATCCCCCAGTTTCTTTTTATTCATCAGCTATGCTATCCTGAGTTTAGCTAACTCCATTTCTCTAACAATTGCATTTCACATATTTAACAAATTTGCAGTGTTTGCTATGTCCAGATTGAACGTGGAGCTTATTCACTGAGCGAGGATCATTCAGCAAGCTGTAAGCTTGATTGTCATTAGAAAACAGTTCCCAAGCTTGCTTTCTTCCCACTGTGACAGATGACATGTAAGGATGAGATAAACCTTTGGATGTCCCCACTCCCAGGCATTTCTAAAACACCTCATGCCACACATCACGCTAGAGGTATCCCAGGGGTGATCTTGAGCTGGGGCTTGGATAAGTTAAGTTACAAGTTTGGTTCATTTCTTAGCATGTAAGCCTCTTTTCTTGCTCATGCTAGTCTTGCTTATGTGAGCAGTTTTAAGCATTCCTATTTTATGTCAGAAGCCACATTAAATGTTAGGGATATCGTAGCAGAGAAGACAAACACAGGCTCCTGCTCATGGAGTTGATGTCCCGGTAGGGAAAAGATCAATCACAACTCAGGCAAGTGGAAGAGAACTTGAGAAGATTTCTTTTTTCAAATTACTTGCAGCTCTTCTATTTATTCCTTCCTCTGTTCCTTCCATTCCTTTCTGTAACTGAACACTTGGGGCCCAAACTCAAAGGAAGGAAGGCATCTGCAGCCAAGAAGTTGGGGAGGGCGAGACTTGTTTCTCGAAGAAGAGTGTTAGGCCTGCACGGGGAGAGGAAGCTGTCTGTGAAGGGGATGGTGGGGGAGATCTGGTACAGCTGTGGTCTGGGTGAGCAAGGACTGCACCCACCCACCCAGGGGTGCAGCAGCAGCAGCAGCAATGGGTAACTGCACACAGAGAGACTGGTGAAATAAGTGAGCTCGCTGAAGCCCTAAGAGCTGGATTCTCACTGTCAGAGGAAGCTGTGGCACTCATGGAAAAGGAGACCATTGCAATGGACCCCGTGAAGTCCCTGACGTTAGATACATCAGTTTCATCTATTGGTTTCCAATATCAAGTGTATGCATATGTAAAAGTACTTTCAGATAACTCTGGGTGGGAAAGAAAGTCTTTGTGCTTACAACTTTTCCCTTTGCTGGAAATTCTTTCGGGAAAAGCATGTGCAAACATTGGTACTATAACATAATACTTACAACATGCGCCAGTTGGCCAGGATGCTGTGGCTGAGAGGGGCTGGGAATCGCTGACTCAGGCTACAATAATGTCGCCAATAAAGCTGTCAGTAAGCTGGTCCTCAAAGTGGCTCAGGCTCTGCCCCCAGACCCAGCTTTGCCACGTCCTTGCAGGCTGCAGAGAGATGTTTCAAGCCCCACACAAGAATGTCACTTCAGAAATACCGCTTACCCAAGATTCCCAACGTGAGACCTCAAACACAGTGTGTCATCTATATCAGATAAGCTCTAAGGTGTCTTCCAGCTCTAAAATTCTTTGCTTTTTGAATTTTTTTTTTTTTTGCTTTGATTGGAAAGGCAGATTTACAGTGAGAAGGCGAAACAAACATCTTTTGTCTGCTGGTTCACTCCCCAAGTAGCTATAACAGCCAAAACTGAGCCTATCTGAAGCTAGCAGCCACTGGGTCATCCACGCGAATGCAGGGTCCTATGGCTTTGGGCCGTCCTTGACTGCCCTCCCAGTCCACAAGCAGGGAGCTGGATGGGAAGTGGAACATCTGGGACACAAACTGGTGCCAATATGGGATCCTTGAAATGGGGAGGATTAGCTAGTCAAGCCGCTGTGCCAGGCCCTAAAATTATTTCATTTCAATATGATTTTTTTCTAGCTCATTTTACCAATTTAATTTTATCTTTTATTCATTCAGAAGGCAGAGAGACAAAAATAGATAGAGACCTTGCATCAGCCGGTCACACCTCCAAATGTGCACAGTTGCCAGGGCTGGGCCAGAAACCTGATATTCAATCTGGGTCTCCCACTTGGGTGCCTGGGACCCTAGTCCCTGAGCTGTCACCTCCCGCCTTCCAGAGTATGTTAGCAGAAAGCTAGAATCAGTGGCAAAGCCGAGACTTAAACCCAGGCACTCTAACATGGAATGCAACATCCCGAGTGGCATCCTAACCACTGTGCCAAAGGCCCATGCTACCAGCTCATCTCTGAGTATTTTTATGCCCACATCACTTTCAAACTTGTACAACATTCGTAATGCTGAATAGCAAATCAAAGACAGAGGTACCAAATGAAGGCTTAGGAAACTGAACACACCCCAAGATGCAGATGCAACACAGCCAATTACTCCACGCAGCTACTTCTTTATTTCTTTTTCAAAGCATAGGACATAGTTATTAATTGCTAATTGATCTTGAATCCTAAATTTGAACAACAGAAATAAATAATGACTAGATTGATTCATCAGTCTAAGGACACTAGGAAAAACTGCTCTTTAAAACTACAGCAAGATCAGGTATCAGATTTCAAACATATAAATCCATTACAAATGCATTACCACAAAATAGGCCCTTGAGATTTACATGCTTTCATTAGCAAAATATATAAACCTTCAGGGACTCAGTGGTTATGCTGTTTGTTCACTGTTCTCATACATCCTATGCTTGGTTTAAAGCAGAACCAAGCAGAATTGCTTGCTGCTATTAGATTATTTAGGGAACAAGGCCTCTGCATATCATGCAACCAAAACTTGCCACTATATTGGAAGCTATGTCATCATCTTACCACCGGGTGGCAGTGTTATGCCGCCATGGAAATTTTTCTACTTAAAGTTCATCAATTACTAGCAATTAACTCCCTGCAACTAATATGAGAAGGGTAGGTAAAGAAATAAGACAAAGAAATATTTAGAACTTAGGTTCAGGAATCAGAAATCTTTAGAATCAAGGTGTGTAGGTTCTAAATCCTATTTCTGCCCTGTAATATTGCTTAGTCCTGAACTACTTCAGTACTCTTATTGCTAAAACGAGAACATTACCTACCTGGAAGAGTTGCTGTGGGAATCAAAAAAACCAAAATACAAGTTCAACACTTGGAGTATGTGATGCGCTAGATTGTATCTGCCACTACCTCCCTAAAAATTTATGTTGAGGTCTAAGCTCCAATCTCAAAATGTGACCTTTTTTGGAAATGGAGTCCCTGCAGAAAGAATCAGATGCGATCAGCATGGTAATCTTGTCAAGCGACTGGTGTCCTGATAAACAATAGAATCTTGCACACAGATGTGCCCATTGGGAGAGACGTCATGGGAAGACAAAGGCAGACCGCAAACAGACGCTTCTGTGAGTTCAAGTGGAATGCCTCAGAGGCATCACCAAGGCATCACCAAGATGGCTGGCAAGCCACCAGAGACAGAGGTATGGAGAAGATTCTCCCATACTGCCTTGGAAGGTTCCGCCAACTCTGCCAACACTGTGAGCTTGAACTTCAGCCTCTAGAGCTACTGTTTAAGCAACCCTAAAGTACTGTGTTAGGGTGGCCCTGGGGACTAATACGGCACATAATAAATGCTCACTAAATATTAACTGCTACGAGCCT